CCCATAGTTAAGGCTCTCCCGGTGTTGCCAGCTATTACTGCCTTAGGACAGTTTCATTTGTAATGTCCAACTTCTCCACAACTGTAACAGGTCCGACTGACACTAGCTCCAGAAGCTTGACTAGTTGATTGGGTTGGTGCTCTGCAGCTTCGCGCGAGGTGACCTTCCTAGCCACAACTTTTACAAAACTTTGCAGGACAAGGGCCAGGGATACGTTGGTAACTGCATTGGTTACACCATGGGAGGATACCGGCATACCCGGTGATAGGTCCTTAGGCTGAGGAACCGACAACATAAACAGTAGCAGGGTTAGTGGCAGCGTGGACTGCCACTATCTATTGTTTCATCGAGGGCTTTGGGAAACACTGAATCTTCTTCTTCTTCCAAAACTTTCTTTTCTCGCCACTCTTCGCTGTTGGCTCAGGAGTGGTGGCTGCTTCCTCTTGTTCATCATTGTCGTTGATCATGGTTTGCGCTAGGCATTTGGCACTGTCATAGGTATCCGACTTTGCAGCTATAACATTCCCTTTGGTTGGCTGGGTCAACCCCCAGATAAACCTCTCAACCTTTTTACCCTCCGTGGTAACCAATCCCGGACAGAGAAGCGCTAAGTCATCAAACCTTGAAGTGTACGCGGCGATATCGGAACCTTTCATCTTCAGGTTCCAGATTTCATGCTCCAGCTTCTGAATTTCACCCCGAGGGCAATACTCTGCGTGTAGAAGTTCCTTCATAACTTCCCAACCCATAGCATTGGCTAAAGGTAGAGTTAGGTATTTGACTCGGTCGTTCCACCAAGTTAGATCTTTATTGGTGAGAGTGCAGGCGACAACTTTCATCTTGTCGGATTCTGAACAAGCACAGATCTCAAAGATGGATTCGATCTTCTCTAATCACCGAGTTAGGGCAATGACACCTCCTGTGCCATCGAAGAATGTGGGTTTTGCATTCATAAAGTCTTTATAGGAACACTCCTTTTGGTGTCCCTAGCTACCTTCCTGGTTTTGAGGCTGGGTATCACCTCTTGAACTACCGGGGTTCGTTTGCGATATGGCTGCTGCCATTGCGGTAGTAAAAACTATCTGAAGGGTTACCAGATCGACTCGAAGAGAAGGTGGTGGTGGAGGAGGGTTGGTCTTTGAGTTGGGTCTCTTTCTTGGAGGCATCTTAATCTAATAAGATCAGGAAAGAGAGGATGGTAAGTCCTCCGAATTGAATCAAGAGATATAATATATGGGATATCTCTTTATGTCAGACATATAATTTCTATTAAGCGACAAAGCAGGGAGGAGTTATCAAAATAGGTAAATTATCACTAAAGGAATGATTGAGGAGCAACTCTGGGATGAGGATTTCTGTAACGGATTTGGCTCGAGAAATACTCCCATAGTATTTCTTGTCTCGCTACAACGTCGGCTCATTATTTGGGTATTGGGTAAGTTTTAGGCATGCTGCACACCACAGTCACTCCCAAGCACATGTTGGCCGTGTCTCGAATGAATATAGTTGGCCATGCTATATTGATCCTAGACACGACTACATAACTGCCCAGGTTTAACCGCACTGTACAACACCCATTTACTTATGTTTTGTTCTACTTGTAGTTACGGATCTTGACGGTCGGGTATACTTGTATACTTTTGAAAATACTTATACTCTAAGGTATACTTTTAGTTCAGAGCACTTAGGCCTCTTAATGTTTATAGTCTTATACCATGCAACCTTTGGTATACTAGTTCATTATAAACAAGGGCTCTGATACCAATCTGTCACGCCCCGAAAACCGAAGGCGGAAACATTTCCGGATCGGATTCCACGTTGAGTATCAAATCCAATGTACATAGTAACATAGTAAACACAAAACATTACATTACATAGAACCGTTTACATCAGTTTGAAAGAAAAGTTATAGAAGTGTTATATACATATATCGTATGAACAAAAACAAAGACGAGTCTTCTAAGGCTCCGCCTTCTCCAAAAGGTGGCGGTGTACCTATCTAATGCTGACCTGAGAATACAAGCAGTTTGAAAATCAGCATAAAGCTAGTGAGTTCATAAGTGGTTTTGTTTTGAAAAGAATGAGATCCCTTTTTGTTTTCTGAAAAAGTTGTTATCCAAGAATCCCATATTTTCTTATGTAGAAACTGTTTAGTTATTATTTCGTCACTTAATTCGTTTACGAGTTGTTATGTTATTCCAAGAAAATCCCATATTTTCCTAAGTGTTTAGTTGTCCTTTTGATACTAAATTCGTAGTTCAGATTTCGATGTACTAGTAAATTCCTTACTTATAGTATTAATTAAGTATTTTGTTATCTTAGTTATCCTACATTCGACTGTTGATTATCTGCTATACTTAGAGGTATTTTCGAATATTTGGATTCACTCAAAAGTGTACATTGACAGTATTTTCAAAATTCTGGTGATTTCCAAAAGGGTACCTTAGACGTAATTTCGAAGCTCTGTCGACAGTCGATGTCCAGAGGCGTACTGTTATATTAATTTCGAAGCTCTAGTGACACTCAAGGGGTACACAAGCGGTATATTCGAAGTCTTGGCGTCATCCAAAGGCATTATTTTGTATTTGTATTCGTATTCTTAATCCTATTCCTAATCCTATTCGTATTCGTATTCGTATTCGCATTCGTATTCGTATTCATATATCTTTTTAGTTATATTCGTATTCGTATTCGTTCTATCCTATTAGTGATATTCGTATTCGTATTCGTATTTGTATTCGTATTTGTATTCGTATTCGTATTCGTATTCTTATTTGTATTCATATTCGTATTCGTATTCGTATATCTATTCTATTCCTATTCGAATTCGTATTCGTATTCGTATATATATTATATTCCTATTTGAATTCGTATTCGTATTCGTATTCGTATTCTTTTTAGTTATATTCGTATTCTTATTCGTATATCTATTATGTTCCTATTTGAATTTGTATTCGTATTCATATTCTTTTTAGTTATATTCGTATTCGTATTCGTATATCTATTATATTCCTATTTGAATTCGTATTCGTATTCGTATTCGTTCTTGTATTAATCTTAGTTTATGATTAGTATGATTCCTTATACAAAACATAATATGAAACTTAGTTTATAACATCTATGAAAGGAATCTACATTTAGTTTGACAATTCACTCTGCAATTCGAAACAATGGTTAGTATGATTTTTAGTATTAAAAGTATAAATAACGTTAAACATTTGAATGGAAAATAATAAGTTTAAGTACAAGATTTCCTTGTACTTTTTCTTGTATTCCCCCCACCCCCTTGAAAACATTTGAAAAAGATTTGAAAAAGGGTAGGGGCATGAACTCACCGGTCGAGAATCGTGTCAGATTGGATGCTAAGTATCTGTTCGGGGTTTGATAACGCGTGATGTTCCTATTTAATATGAAATCATATGCAATTTTATCTAATTAGACTTCAAATCACTAATTAGATATGATTATACACTCCAAGATGCGAAAACACTTAAATTCAAGTGTTAAGAGTGATCCGGGTAGCATCTAACGGTGTGTAAGGCCTAAATATGGAGTTTACTCTTCAAGAGTAAACTCCTTAAGTAGTTTACGGCTCATTGACCATATCCCCATGAGTTTACGGCCGTAAACTCATGGGTGGTGGGTTCTTGGACGCCAGATGGTCATTCAATGCACAAGGGAAGGTTCTAGGGTCGCTTTCATGGCTTAGGAAGTGATCAGGACTTGAAATAGCCTTGGGAAATGAGTTTAAGGTCTAAGGAGATGTTCTTGGGGAGTTTACTACCTTAAACTCATGATTTTACAATTGTAAACTCATGTTTTTCCATGAATTAAGGGCTTTGATGGTTGTAATTCAATCACATGTGATTCTAGGTCCAAAACCAAGCTTTTTAAGGGATTAAAGGCACCTTAACACCCTTTGATGGGTGTTTACGGTCTAAGGAGGCGGGTTTAATGTCCAAGAATGTTCTTGGGCCATAAACTCAAGTTTGATGCATTTGAGGATGTCTTGGAGCATCACATGAACGTTTATGAGGTTCTATACTCCCATGGAAGCATTTTGAAGGTGTTTAAGGGCATTTTGACTCATTAACATGAGTTTATGGTCCATGAATGAGGGTTTACGGTCCAAGAACATGCTTGGCCGTAAAATCATGTCCATACATTATATGTCATGATTTTGAGGTCCTTAGTCCATGTATGCAAGTTTCTAAGTCGAATCTAAGCCCTAGAAGTGTTTTGGAGGGGTTTTGAGGCTTCAAAACCCTCATATGAGGTGTTCACGGACTAAGGAGGTTCCTAGACTGTAAACACTTGTTTATGGTCTCATTCCTCATAAACATTCCGAATTTGAAGACCAAAGATGTTAAACTAGAAGCTAGGATAATTACCTTGATGTTTTGAAGCTTGATTTGGGTGTTTTTGGCTCAAAATCGGATTTTAGAGAGAGAGAGAGTAGAGAGAGAGTAGAAAAAGCTTCAAATGAGGATCTCTCAACTTTATATATGCTGAAAGTTAGGGACACGGTGGAATTCTACCCGATACTGCCGTTAGACGGTGCTTTTGGTCGCACCTGATAAAGTTGTCGTAATTACGACTTAAATAAAACTAAATATTTCTAAATGAAATAGAAAATATTTTAATGTCTTTAAAATGTATTCTAACATTATTAAAACATTAATAGAAGTCACAATAATTTAATTAAAACAAAGTTAACGGCAAATTTTGGAACTTAACGGCTTTGTTAACGAAAACGGGTTACAAACACTACTAGAAAAATAGCCTTTTACGACGCGCAAACAATGACACGCACTAATTTACGATACGCTAAAGTGTGCGTGCTAAAAATAATGTCATCTCTAACAATATTTAAAGGATCAAGGACATGCATTTTTGCGTGCCCCTAAAATTAGTGTCTTAACAAAAAAAAATTAAAAACACGGAGGATACTTATCTTAAGCGTGTGTCCTCTACAGACGTCGTTTTATAATTTTACTCAAATGCGCGTCTCTTATAACAAAATCACAGGGACCGATATTGATATTAATTCTAGGGCTTTTTTAAGACTCAAAACACTCACTCACTCAGCGCTCTCTACAATCGATCCGGAGACCTCGCCTCGCTTCCGGCAACCCCTTGCTCACTTCTCCTCATCGATGGTCTGATCATCACCTGACCTCAAATTCCTTTTTTTCCATCTTTTGCAGAAAACCCAAATACACGCTCACCCCGTTTTTGATGCTCAGAAATGAAAAAGGGCAAGCGCCTTGGTATTTTAGAAGATGTATTTTGGGGAAATAGGGGATTTTGGTTCTACGTGTTTTTATAACCCTGGGAATCAAGAACCCTGTATTCTCACACCGGATTCATAGTTGAAGTCTACCAGAAAGAAAAGTGTACGGATGAGCCTAATGGGTCTGGGAATAGCAGAGGAAGCGCTAGTCCTTCTTAGTAGAAGACTATGTGATCTCAATTTCATCTTCTCCCTCTTCTCCGATTCTCCCGACAACAACTACAAGTTCGGTTGATGGTTATTCGAAAATTCTATATATCTTCCAATTATGTCTACGTGAATATCATAATCTCTTTTTTTTCCTCATCCTCCATTGTGACGTATTTAATCTTTGAACAAATTTCAGCAAGTTGAAATTTATCGTATCAAATTTGGTAACTGAGGGTGTAACAATTCGATACTGCTTCAGGATCCTCGAGGATGCGGAAAAATTGCGGTATAATACCCAATTTCTGTGATAATTACTTGGATTTTTTTATAGTATTTACTGTGATTTTATTGTGTCATTGATTATGGAATTAGGTGTTGGATCTTGTTCTAGAGGATTTGCTGAAAGAATATCCTGAAATGATCTCAGAGGCAGATATATGTGTGTGTGTGTGTGTATATATATATATATATATATATATATATATATATATATATGTTTTATCTATTTAAATATTTTGTTTTCGTCTATTATTTTTTTACTCTATATCTGTTGTGATATCAGGCACAATGGCTGACCGGAAAGAGCATCTGCTCCCACCAAAACCTACATCAGCTATAAATGTTAGTGCTAGATCATAACGGCTGTTGAAGTTCTGCTTTTTAATTCTCTTGATAGCTATATGTGGTGGAATTACAAAGACGATTGAAAGCTACAGGGGTTGGTGTGGTGTGGCAATCTGAAGGGGCAAAGTTGAATAGACGAATGGGAAATTCAAATAGATCCTTAGGGTACATGTGCATGGTTTGTAGGGTTTTTAAGACTACCTTCCATTGAAGAGTGATTAAAAAGAGGTGATCTCCTTGAAAGGGGTGTTCTTTCTTCTTCAAAGGTATTATTTTTGGTCGATCTATTTATATATGCCCATTTACATGTTCATACAGATTCTGTCTTTTCAACATTCATCAATAGATTATGCATATACAGTATAGAGGTCTTTCACTCTCTTCTTGTAGTTATAGATTCCTGATTTCTAAAACAAAAGAAGTTATTTCATCATTTTATCTGCAAGAAGTACATAATAATATTCCATATAACAACATGGCGGAGCTTATTTCTTTATCACCTTCATCAGGACGTTGTCCACACTACAAGAGATCTAGAGAGAGAGAGATCTAGAGAGAGTGAGAGAGATCTATAGAGAGAGTGTGTGTGTGTGTGTGTTTGTGTGTGTGAATTAATGAAAAGAAAACTATCTGCAGTGTGCAATTTCTTGTGTTGTTTATTACAAGTTTAAGAGATATAAAGTTGATTCATTTGTAATAAAATGATCTGTTCGTGGTTGGAAAACAAAAGAAATTGCAAACTTTGATTCATTCTTTTCATTCACTCTTTGTTGCTTTGTAGTTACACTTGAAATTTTTTTTCTTTCCTACGAGTGAGTAGTTCAGGAAGATATTCAAGACCTTTTTTTTTCATTTAATTAACCTTGTTCTACGTTTAGATGACTTAGAAATTCAGGGATGATGACCATTTGGGATATTCAAAACCTTTTGTTTGGTAACACTTCACCTAAATACTTGCCCTTTGAGTTTAGGGCTCTAGAAGTTGCTCTTGAGGCTGTTTGTACATTTCTGTTGGTGGTAATGTAGCTGGTAACAGAAGTGGAGCTTCACGAGCTTTTGTGAAGTATAGGTTTGTCTTTTCAACTATCTGTTATATCTTTATTAAAAAAAGAATCAAAAAATTGGTTGATATATAAATTGAAATGTGGTGGTTTAACTTTAGGTTGAAGATCTTCAATGGTCAGTTTGAAGAGCTTCATCAAAGACAATCTCAATGGACCGTTCCTGAAACAGAGCTTAGAGAATCTATCATACTTGCAGTTGTTGAAGTCTTGTTGCCTGTATACGAATCTTTCATTAAATGTTTTGGGTACATACTTTCTGTGTGATCTATCCCAATTCTCAGGCTCAAATAAATGAAAAAAAAGTAAACAAATATTTTGTTTTCTGTTTTTTACAGTTACAGGGCACTTGTTGAGAATGGGAAGAATCCCATTAAGTACATAAGGTATTCAGCAGAGGATCTTGATCGGATGCTTTGTGAATTTTTCAAGGGTAAGACTTTGAACAAAACAAGACGATAGAGATATCAAGATGTTGAATTACTCTTTTACCATTGTGGTATGTTAGTGTATCCTGTAGCCTAAAAGGGCATGGCATGTATGTTCTTTTTGTATGTATTGGGGTAATAAGGATATGGGTATGCTAAAAAGTTAAAAAAAAAATGCTGAAACTTTGATTAATTTATTTTTCTTGGTTGGTGTTGTTAGTTAGTATGTTACTAGCTGGTAATTATTCATGAAAGGTCTATAGTTTATAACAAATAACATGAAATACATGTTTTGGAGATTGAATTCCAAGGTGTCAACAATTCTGTTTTTTTTTTTTTACTATCAGTTGCACTATTTTTTTTTACTATCAGTTTCACTATTTTTCTGCACTCAATTGATTATATATTCCATATTTTTGTACTCCTATCCTACAATTTCTTCAATTTCCTATACCACAATTCCAGTGTCACCACTTTTGTTCCAGTTCTGCTTCACGAGCACTTGTAAAGGATAGGTTTGTATTTTTAACTAGAACAAGGGTATTTTTGTAATTTTCTTTTCTACTGATGCTCTTTTTTTTTAATTTCAGGTCCTCTCACAAAGGAGGATGCTATTGTAAATATAATGGGACGACATTATCAATTCGTATCTTCAATTCAGTCTCGTCTAAAGCAATGGATGATCCATTTGTGGTTCTAGAAACTGCATCAACACCTACCACATTACCCCCAAGTGTTTTTATTGATCCACTGGAAACAGTTCACAAGATGAATAAATCTGAGAGCACTAATACTGGAGTAAGTAGGGGTGTGTTTGATTTTGATTAAATTGACCCCCTTCATGGATTTGGTAAGCCTGCAACGTTAAGCATCCCACATTTGGTGACATCACTCAAAATCGGCTTAGAAGCAACACAAGAAGCTGCATTGGACACGCTATTTCTTCTGAGGCTAGCATGGTCTGCATGCCCTATTGATGTCTCCAAATCTAGTTGATCCCACCTCGGTTTCAAGAAAAATCCGAGTTTTTGTTGTAGTGTTTTAACGGTCATAATTAAACGCGGGAATGATATGAAAAATCCCAATTAGATAAGTTTGAGACTTTTGCCATGGGTGGAAGTGGAACACAAGATAATGGTGTGGACCATGTTAATGGCGAAGAGATGGATTCAAACTCAGCTGTTGCTGCAATGAAAGATGCCATAGAATGGAATATGTGAACCAAGCATGTCCTTTTGGTTGTTAAGAATCTTTATATATATCTACAAATAAAGAGTTTGAAGTTTGATATTCACATCACATAATGATGATATTGTCATTTTCTTTGGGTCAGGGAGCTTCTCTTGGACTTCTATACAAGTTCAACCAAGCATAAGCCAGACCAAATTATCATCTTCAGGTCAATTCTTTTCTTTGACTTCTGGTCATTTTAATATATTTTGCTGTCATTTTCTTTAAACTAAGAACAGAAGCCCAAACCTTTCTTTCTTTGTGTACATTAAAAACATCAAGATTCCTTGTAATAATTTAGAGTTTTATTTGTAATAGGGATGGTGTGAGCGAGTCGCAGTTCAACCAGGTGTTGAACATTGAACTGGACCAAATTATCGAGGTATTTGTATTTCTTATAATAGTTTCTTATTTTGTTAAGTAAATTTGATTTAAATGATAATGATGGTGTGGTAGGCCTAAAAATTCCTTGATGAGAAGTGAAACCCAAAGTTTCTTGTGATAATTGCTCAAAAGAATCACCACACCAAGTTTTTCCAGCAAGGATTTCCAGACAATGTCCAGCCTGGTAATATGTAACTACTCAATAAAATACTTCAGTTTTAGAAATGATATGGTTTAAAAGTGGAATTATTATTATTATAACAGGAACTATGATTGATAACAAGGTTTGTCATCCTCGCAACAATGACTTCTACATGTGGGAGATATCATGTCAAGAGCTACTTGTAGAAATATAGGCTGGCAAAGTACCTCCCCGATTCCTCTTCTGAAGGTATTCTGTAGTTCAAAATACTTAAATCTAAATTTGAAGAGATGTATATATATATATATATATATATATATATATATATATATATATATATATATATATATATATATAGGGTGCCATTTGTTTATTGCATTTAGCCCAAAAAAACAAATGTGGTGACTGCTGATTGAATTTTGGTGAAATTGGTAATGCAAGGAAAAGTGTTTGACCAGAAAGAATCGGGTGACATGCTTTCCAGCTTTGATGGATCATCATAAGTCTTATTTGTTTTGCATTGTCTGATGGAACGGAATTATTGAGAATTCTTGAAGGATCGTTGATATACATTTCTTATAACCCATTTTTTTATAATGATAAAAGTATATATTTAAATGATTTAATAAAATTAGAAATTTATTTTGTGAAATATGTTTGTGCAGTGTAATGCGAATTACAGAAGCACTGAAGCTACAGATGGAGGTGCAAAAGCGACTGCATGAGCAATTAGAGGTCTTATTTTGTGTAAAATAAAATGCTATAGTTTTTTCAAAGTAAAGTAAAGTAGCTTACATATATGATGAAAGTGTATAGGTACAAAGACCACTTCAATTACGAATAGAAGCCTAAGGAAAGTACCTAAAGAAGATCATTGAAGAGCAACAGAAGGTGATTTAAGCTGACCCCTTGGTCAGGAATCCAAAAACTAAACCGACCCTATCACTCCACCTCCTCCATCCATCATCAAAAGTCAGAAGTTGATGCTTTGGTAAATTCAGGTGGTACCCTACATGACAGATATGCCCTTCTTTGGAATCAACAAATGGAAAGGTAATAATACAATAAATAATAATCCATGTGTTTTTATTTCTTGATTGGTTCTGCAACAAATGTCCACAATAATCTTGTGAAATATCTAGTGGGAGTGCCATAGGTGTATCAATATTTATATGTTTTTTTCATTATATATTTCCTACACCATTGGAATCATGTCTTCTTTTTCTTGGATGCTGCAGAATACAAGCACCAATCTCTTTCTTTCTCTCTCTCTCTCTCTCTCTCTCTCTCTCTCTCTCTCTCACACACACACACACACACACTTTTTCTCTAAACTTATGTTTTTGTATTGCAGGATTGGGCCAATGAACTCTGAAATCAAGCAACAAAAGGTTGTAAAGCATAGAAAGCATGCAAGATTAACTAAAAAAGCATGCCCTGAAGACTCCATGTCAATGGTTGTTGAAAGCTTTCAAAATAATGAACATGTTCACTTGTTGTCCCCAGTTGATGTATCTGCTTCTCTTTCGATATGCATCATATCATAACAAATTTAGAGTTGTTGTACTTTGCACATTAAATAGATTTTTACTATTGTACATTGCAGGTGAACAGGTCTGGAAGGCTTGAGAATAATGCAGCACAATACTCGGTTGATATCGAGTTATCTTGCTTAGTTAGTTTCTTAACCTTTGTAATTATAAGTAACTAATTAATCATTTCTTAGTTTATTAGGTCAGATTACATCAAATTCAACTGACATGTCAGCATGTCACCAACTTTTAGGTCTTGTCCCTTGATGAAGATCAATTGCAGCAAATATTGTATCTGTATGATTATCTATGCACTTGTCAGCTAAGAGAGAAGTCAGTGGAATGGTGTCTCATCAGTGTTATCCGTTTTTAATTACACTTTCAGATTGTGAGGCACGTTGGTCTTTTAATGCTTTTAGATATGGATGATATCGCCCTTGAGGGATACCTATATCATAAAGACCTTTGGGATGGAAGATGCATTGGTGGCATTATGCTTAAAACTCTGTGTTATCTGATGTTCGTAAAAGAATGAAGAAAACTTCATGGAAATAATTAGGAGAATGTCTGTAAGTTGTTCTTTCTTCAAGATTAACATCTATGATCTACCATGTTATACTATTTGTTGTGTGCATTTTCATCATGGAATGCTTAAGATCTTAAACCTTTTAAAATCTTTTACTTGTATAGAGGCAGAAAAAGACGATATGTAAAGTTGTACAAGTTGAAACTGGAATGTCTACGAAAAGAGTAGGTGAGGTCATTAGTCATTACACATATAGTTTTCTTGATTTAAACATTATATGGTGTATATGATTCCAACATTATTTGGTGTATATGAATCATGATCAGCCTCTGGATGATGAAATTGTTTTGGAGTTGGACCAAATAGAGAAAGTATCTGATATAGAAGATATCTTGGGTTACAGGTCTGCTGCTGAACATGAGCTTCAGGTATGATTATGATCATTTTGTTAACATCTATTGCATGTGCTTTTTACTTATACATTTTATTAAAGACTATGAACATGTAGGAGTTCTTGGTGGATTTATAGTGTCTAATTGTTCAAATTTTTTATACTTCTACAATTACAGACAATGGTCTGCGGGTTTTTCTAGTAGTATGTGTGCACGAATTAAACAAGTTTGTATTTTTTTTTAAGTAGAATGCAGTTATTTGTATTTGTTGTCATCTGTTTTTATCTTTTTGACGCAATGCAGCATGTTGCTGCAGAAGGCACAACCTTGGTTAAAGAGGCAGAAGATGCTGCAAGTAATAACAAGGCAGAAAAGAGATTGCAAGCTGATCCTGCTACATGGCCAATAATGATCTTTAGGGTCTGCTAGAAAGATTGGAGATTGCGGTGAAGCTTCTATCTAAGACTTCACGCCAAGGAGTTGATGAATTTAAGATATCATGTTTTGGCATGGCTAGAAGCTTTGGAGGAACGGAGACTCAAGCAAAAGTAAACACACGGAGAGTTGTTGGCACATAGTAAGCTAGATAATACAATTGTATATAAATGATTTCATTTTTTTATAACATTTACTCACTATTGGAATAATTATTTGTATTTGACATATTAGTGAAATGAATTATCTTTATTATTTATGATATTTTATTTTGTATTATGAGATTTTTAATGTATTATTTAATTCAAAAATTAGTAAATCCATAAATAATATTTTTTTTTAAACATTTAAAATTATGATACGCAAAAATGTGTGTCATCTTTATTTATGACATGGCCTTTCTTGACAGGGGCTTTCTTGATACGCATTGCATGTCATTAACATGCGTGTCGTAAGGTTACGACAAGCGAATGCGTGTCGTCTTCCTTTATAACAGGGCCTTCCTTGATACGCATTGCGTGTCGTAAACGCACGTCGTAAATGTGCGTCATCTATAGACGATGCGCAAAAGCGCGTCATATCTCTTTATGACAGGGCCTTCCTTGACGCGCATTTGCGCGTCGTCTGAGCCTTTTACGACGCGCAATGAGCGTCGTAAAAGGCTGTTTTTCTAGTAGTGAAATAATGAAATGAACTTCGGGTTGTCACAAAATGTATCCTTTGAACCTCAATCCAATTAGAGGTAAACCAGCTGTATGCTTACTGACAAAGGCTCACTCTGATGAAAGCTGGTTATGACATAGAAGATTATCTCATCTGAACTTCAAGGATATCAACAAGTTGGTTTTGGGTGATCACATTCGAGGTCTTCCAGTTCTAAAATTTGATAAAGAACATCTCTGTGCAGCGTGTGAAATGGGAAAGCAGAGTTGGCAGAGTCATCCTTCTATTATCAGTACTAAGGTAATAGAACCATTGGAGTTATTGCACATCGATCTATGTGGTCCATCGTCCATCAAAAGCATTGGAGGAAACAAATACATTCTGGTTATTGTGGATGATTTCTCAAGATTTACATCGATTTACTTTCTCAAGCAAAAGTATGAAGCCACTCCAAAGCTCAATATCTTTATTAAACAAATAGAAACACAACTAAAAAAAGTAGTTCGTAATATAAGGAGCGACAATGGCCTGGAATTCAAGAACAATGATTTTGAAGATTTTCTTGCTGAAAAGGGAACGACTCACAATTTCTCAGCCCCTTATACTCCACAGCAAAAATGCATTGTTGAAAGGAGAAACCGATCCCTGTGTGAAGCTGCTAGAACTATGCTATGCTTCGCATCCTAACCTTTGTATTTCTAGGCTGATGCAATTGCGGTTGCATGTTACACTCAAAATAGATCATACTTGAATAAGCGGTTCTCAGTCACCCCTTACGAGATCCTGAACAATTAAAAACCAAATGTGAAATTCTTTCATGTGTTCAGTTTAATATGTTTCATCTTCATCTCCAAAGAGAATCGAAACAAGTTCGATGTTAAGGCGGATGAATGAATTTTCTTAGGCTACTCCTTGACCTCCAAGACGTATAGAGTTCTCAATCAACGCTCAAAGAAGATTGAAGAAACGTACTATGTCACTTTTGACGATAGTTATGTTAAGAAAATGAAAACAACAGAAGATGCATCGCAAGACATATTTCCAAAGAATGGTCAGGTTACTGTTTCTATCTCGAATCTTTTCGACCAATTCATGCTTCTATTTGATGAGCCTCAAAAGGAGACTGACTCTGAATCAACTGCAAAAGACAACAAAGTTGATAATCTGAAACAAGTTATAGACGATGCTGCTAAGAAGATGGTTGATGATCAATCCAAAGAAACCGAAGGTGCAGACACAAGCGAACCTTCTGGTGACTGTCCTAATATCCAGGGGGAGGGTTCCTCTACTCATCACGATCAAGGATCTTCATTCCAGTGGGAGAACTCATCGCCAAATACATCAAGCTCTACTGAAATTCCAGCCAATGAAGGGGATACAAATGCTGGTCCTGAACAGGAATCATTCTTCGAGGGGGAGAATACCAATATTGGTGATGACGACATTTTGTTTGAACAAGAGGAAGAAATTAATGCTGAATTGGATCCTGTCTATGATCCAAACTTTCCTCCACTTATCATATGGACCAAAGATCACCCTCAAAGTCAAATTATTGGGGAATCCTTAGAAAAAGTGTTAACTTGCTCTCAAATCAAAGCGAAACAAGCTGCACTTTTTTCAAAAGTCGAGTTTTGCATGTTCAATTCATTCGTTTCCAAAGTTGAACGAAAAACCGTTAACTCAGCTCTTGATCATTCAGACTGGGTTCAATCCATGCAGGATGAGCTAAACGAGTTTGAACGAAACAAGGTATGGCGCCTCATTCCAACTCCAAATGATGCTTCGGTTGTCGGTCTTAAATGGGTATTCAGAAACAAGAGGGACAAAGAGGGGAATGTCATTTGTAACAACGCAAGGTTGGTCATCAAATGATATTGTCAGGAAGAGAGAATCGATTATGAAGAAACCTTCGATCCTGTAGCAAGATTAGAATCTGTTCGTATCTTTCTTGTGTACGCCGCTCACAAGAACTTTGAAGTCTATCAAATGGATGTCAAATGTGCTTTCCTCAATGGTGAACTTGAAGCAACCGTATATGTTGAGCAACCATCAGTTTTCGTGAACGAGAAGTATCCCGATCATTGTTATATCCTTGAGAAAGCTGTATATGGCCTCAAACAAGCTCCTAGAGCATGGTATGAAACTCTCACTCATTTCTTTAAAATGTCTAAATTCAAACAAGGTTCAGTTGACCTAACCTTCTTTCGTAAGCGAGAAGGTAACCACCTCATGATAGTCCAAATTTATGTTGATGACATCATCTTTGGCTCCATGAATCCTAGCTTAACAGCTGAATTCAGAAAGTTGATGGAAACTAAATTTGAGATGAGCTCAATGGGTCCAATTAACTTTTTTCTTGGATTGAACATTAGACAGGGACCCGGAGGCATTTTTATTAATCAGGAAGCATATACCAAGACTTTTCTAACCAAGTTTGGAATGATGGGAGACTCTAAAGTGAAAGTGCCTATGGCCTTTGGAACTAAACTCATACCATCATTGGAGAAACCAGCAGCTGATATAACACTTTATTGACAAATGATTGGGTCTCTGATGTATCTTACATCCAGTAGACCTGATATCATGTTCTCTATCTGCTACTCTGCGCAATTTTAAGCCAACTCCCGAGAACCTCATCTTCAAGCCATGAAGAATATCTTTCGCTATCTGAAGCGAACCTCCTCTCTCGGTCTGTGGTATCCAGCAAACTCAGGATTCTTTGTTCAAGCATTTTCAGATGCTGATTTAGGTGGCTGTGGATTAGATTGTAAAAGCACCACGGGAGGATGACAATTTATAGATGGTAAATTATTCAATTGGCAATCGAAGAAACAAACCTATGTTTCGCTATCCACTGTAGAAGTCGAATATATCGCTGCAGCATCCTGTACATCTCAAGTCGCGTGGATACAAAATCAACTCATGGATTATGGGCTAAACATGAAGAAAATCCTGCTTTATTGTGACTCTAGAAGTGCAATTAGGATTTGTCACAACCCCGTGGAACATTCAAAGACTAAGCATATCGCATTGAGGTATCATTTCATCAAGGACAATGTCAAAGATGGTAACGTAGAAATTCACTTCGTCAGAACGACTGATCAATTGGTAGACATATTCATGAAGGCCTTACCTGAAGAAAGCTTCAATAAGATTCTACAAGGCCCGCGAATGATGCAAGCCGAATCTGTACTGAAATCACCTTCGATTCCATAAAGGTAACAAGAGAAATACAGCGAACCGAAATGAACCGAACGTTCGGTCTATTTCGGGTTCGATCCTTCTGAACTCGTTGGTTTTTTAAAGGCATTTCAATTGTTTTCCTACGTACATCTTTTCATTACCTCTTTTCAAGCTATAAAATCCCAAAAATAATTTTCTTATTTTTATAAAAAATCCTTAAGAAATCCAAAAATATTTTTCTCTTTTGTTCAATTTGTCTAAATATGATTCTCGATGGCAATGCTAAGGCGGGTAAATGATTTTACTTGTTAGGTGTCCCTAGAAGCATGCTGTTGTATGTTGACTAAAGCCTCAACAGATTTTGAGTGAAGCCTTAATAACATGATATATACCAATCGTGTTTTCCCAATCCAAGCTATCCAATTCACTCTAATCATGAGCTACCTTACTCTACTCAAAACTGGGTTTAGAGTTTTCCGCTTGGTCCTTCTCTTTCTTTAAAGCAGATGTACATTCTCTTCTTATACCATCTTCATCATCTTTCTCCACTATAACTCGTTTCATCAATATAACCCCTACGAATCTCAGTCTTAACCACTGAGGTTTATGGTTATACCAAGTCTGTTTTCATGATCTTAGTTTCATGCCACTATGTACTAAGTGAAACCCAATGTTCAACACCACTAATGAATTAACGGTGAATTCACAAATTCATGATCTTACTTGTTACCCTATGAAATCTTTTTTTTAGTGATCTTTATGAGTTTGCCTTTCACCAAGGTTTCTATAACCCTAAAAGATCTAGTTTAATATCTTTTTTAGATTTCTTCCTTCCCTCGTCACTATAAAGTTTATCATACCAACTTGTTCAACAGATCACAATGATCTCACAAGTACTTCATTAAATTTCGTTCTTATGTAAGTATTGAAATTATGAATTGAAGCAAAAGCCACCCTCTTTAACCTTTAAAAGATGCATTTCAAAACTTCTCAACAAGTTTTTGATCGTTATTCAATGGGATACCAAGCAAGCACTTTAATGTCTTTCTTGACTTTGAAGGAAGTGATTTTTGCCCAGAATCAACTGTGTTATGTCTGCTGACGACATCACAGATTATCCCTAAAATTTTGTTTTATTTCTTTATCTT